TTCAAAGTAAATTGGGAGAAAATCGCATCTACATTTTGCCTCATTTTCAGCACATTTATGAATGTAACTTATGATGACATTTGCCAACTTTTGTTCCAAAACTTGCTCGACTTAAAAACATAACACAAAACTATCATAAGACAAAAATAACTCATAACATAACTTCCTTATCATTTTGAGCACCCTAGTCTCATCCCAAAAGTACATGTTATAACATTCCCAACTTGTCGACTTTCGACGAAACTTATTTTCTTCAATTGGTTTAGCTTCTAAGCCTTCCAACCCTCTTGGTACTTGCAGTACATGATCTTAAATATTTGTAACGTCCAAGTTAACATGATTAACTTACTTTATGTACTTTCAAAGATGATCTCATTTCAGAGCTTATATCAATTGACTTATGACGTACTCTCACATACGAAACTATGAGGACTAACAATATCAATTAAAAATATATACATTAATGTTAAAATAAAAAAGAAATATTCATTTAAATGAAAAAAAACTCATAGTAATTGTATTAAATATCTTCTGAATATGCACATATGATGAATTTAGTTAAATTAGTTGTATGCAATTATATATATCTTATAATATGATTTTTAAATTTGCATTTAACCAATTTAATTCTTAATAATATAATTAATCTTATTTTATATTCTGATTTCTTTTATCGCCGATAGTCTTTTTCTGAAAAATAATTTATATACTTGTCATAATACTAATTTCCCTCCGTAGGATGTCGTGACGGCATCTAGTCTCTAAGATTAGGTAAGCCTAACAAGTATGCGAAATAACTGATATGAAGCTAAAACTCAACCATCAACAACTGTAATAAATAAAATCTACAACACAAGTATAAACAACTCCCAAAATCCAGTAGATATAAATGACAAGCTCTAAAGAGAAATACTAAACATCCATATACTTCATAGTCTAATACGGATACGGAAACAACATAATAAAGATAGAGGGACTCCGAGGTCTGCGAACGCTGGCAGATGTATCTTGAAGTCTTCACGTACGGACTAGCTCACTGATACCTGGTTTGATAGGAAATACCTGGATCTGCACACAAAATTGTGCAGAAGCGTAGTATGAGTACACCACAATGGTACCCACTAAGTACCAAGCCTAACCTTGGTAGAATAGTGACGAGGTCAGGTCAGGGCCATATTAAAAATAATAATAAACAAGACAGAAGATATAAAAATATAATGAAATGACAGAGAAGTGGAACAATTAGAATTTACATAGGTAATAACACAAAATCAAAGAAAGACAAATACAACATGAAAGGAAAGCAAAGATCTTACGAGTTAAGGAAAGACAACAACAACCAATACAGCAAATAAAGGAAATCAACAGGGCACACCCGAGGTACCGCCTCGTAGTTCCAAAAGTAAATATCTCACAATCCTTTCTTATATCACCGCGAGAGCCTTCATATTTAGTTTTTGAAAATCATTTTCCCAAAATAGCATCTCGCGTTTTAGCCCACATTATCACACCGATGACTTCTAGTAGTTCCTCTTCTAGCCAAGCGTTTCAAGCCCACCTTATCTCACTGCATGTGTTTCAACACCCAGCCTTATACCACCGCATGTGTGTCAATAATCACAACGGCATGACAGAAACCTTGTGCAAAAAATAACAATCGCACGACAAAAACCTCGTGCAACAATAACAACTGCACGGCAGAAACCTCGTGCAACAACCAAACAATCATCTCAACAATAATCACGGAAATCAAAACATAACAACTAAAACAATGATATTTCAAAGATAGCAATTTCACGTAAAGAATCCCACAGTTAAATAAGGAATATGGAATCAAGAAAATAGGTAATTCAACTAAGCATGTAGTACAAGTTACAAATAAGAGATAAGACAAGTAGACAAATGAAATTAGGCTAAACATGATGACTATACATGCTAAAGTTACTCAGTAAAGGCATAAAAATATAACTACTTAGATAAACCGAAATTTCAACATTTAGCCCGTGTACGCACTCGTAACCTCGTGTACACGGCCCTCACATATCACAAATTGTCACAACAATACCAAATTCTAATGGAAATTTTTCCCACACAAGGTTACACAAGTCACTTACCTCAAACTTTGCTCAATCAATCAATGAGAAGGCCTTTCCCTCGACTTTCCGACTCCGAACAACTCAAATCTAGCCAAAAATAATTACATACTATAAATATAACTATAGGAAACTAATCTAAATAACAAAATTTTGAAAAATTCGCTCCAAAAAGTCGACTCGAGCCCATGTCTCAGAACCCGACCAAAATTAAAAAAATCCGAACACCCTTCGATATAGATTCCAACCATACAAAAATTATTCAAATCCGATCCCAATTCACCTTTCAAAACTCAAGAATTCGGTCTAAGAATTCTCTACCTTTTCCTCCAAATTTCTCAACCCAAATCCTTTATTAAATGAAGAAATCGAAGATAGATTAGTAGAATATAATAAAAAACAAGTCAAGAATCCTTACCCAAATATTTTCTCTGAAAATCCATCAAAATCTCGCCTCAATCCGAGTTTTATATCTCAAAATATGAAGAAAATGACAAACTCTCGATTTCAAACAGTCTGCCCAACGTTTTCCACATTTGCGGACAAGAAATCACTTCTGCGACGTCGTACATATGGAAAAACCATCGCAGGTGCGGAAAAACACTAAGTCCAAGGCTTCCGCTTCTGTGGATAACGCCCCCATCTACGAGACCGCTTTTGCGGGAATAGAATACAAAAAACTATAGTGTACACCANTATATATATATATATATATCATCATGATCTTTTCGGGGTACACCATTTTCGAACTTTTATTGCTCTCAATAATGAAGTAGTATAGAGTTTTGTTATAAATAACTCACAAAATTTTCTTATTAAAACCTGGGACATTAAAATTTTGTTCGTTCGTTTGTTTTGGTATTTGAGTAGGTTTTACCACGAGGCACGGGGTTTGAGATAATCAAAAGAAGATGTTTCAATCCAGAATAAAGAGAAGAAAAGAAAAAGAAGTGAATCCAAAATACAGAAGTGGATGAAAAGATGTGGAATGCTCAATACATGACTGAAGTCATGGGCATTACATTTCCCGTTTGATTAGAATAAGTTATAGAACAATGAACTAGCACCTATAGCTAGCGAGCATCAAGGTTCAGATCAGAGTCTGCATGAAGAACCAGTCAAGACTCAAGATCAAGTTTCAGAATACTCATATATAGAAATCATGTAACTCATAACTGGTAGGCTTGTTTAATTTACCTGCGACTACTGACACTTCTGCGCCCATACCATCGCAGAAGCGAATGCGCTTCTGCAGAATATTTCCCGCTCTTGCGACCACTGCTGGGCATGACCAAACTAACTTCTGCGACCAAGATCTCGCTTTTGCGAACGCGCACTTACGGCCAATCCCTTTGCAGGTGCGAAACAACCCAGCTTTAGCATATTTCACAAGTCCCAATTTGTTTCGGATTCGAGAAATTTTTTGAAAAAAATCTACGTTCGATCCGAATCACACTCGAGCCCCCCGAGACCTCTACCAATAATACCAATAAGTCCTAAAACATCATACGAACTTAGTCGAGCCTTCAAATCACATCAAACAATGCTAAAACCATGAATCGTACCCCAATTCAAGCTTAACGAACTTATAAAATTCTGACTTCCACATCCGATGCCCAAGCCTATCAAATCAAGTCCGATTGACCTCAAATATTACACACGTCACATTTGACATTAAGAACCTACTCCAACTTCCAGAATCAAAATCTGACCCCGATATCAAAAGTCCACTTCCAGTCGAAGTTTCAAGAAATCTTTCAACTTTCTAACTTTCGTCGATTAACGCCGAAATGACCTATGGATCTCCAAATCAACATCCGTACATGCTCCTAAGACCAAAATTACCCTACGGAGCTATTGGAACCGACAAAACTCTATTCTGGAGTCGTCTTCACACAACTCAACCCACGGTCAACTCTTACAACTTAAACTTCAACTCTAAGGACTATATGTCCCATTCCACTCCGAAACTCACCCGAACCCGAACCCGACACCAAGCACCCTGGCAAGTCAAGTAAATACAAAACAAAATAAAGGGAGCAATAAATAGGGGATCGGGGCTAATACTCTCAAATCGATCGATCAGGTAATTACATCTCTAAGATTTGTGTAAACTTGAAAAATAATTTTACCTATATAATGAATTTGGAAAAGAATAAAATTGGATTAGTTTTCTAGTTAGTTAACCCGAAAAAAGGTCAATTAATATACTTAATTATCTTTTTCAATCACTAATAGAAATAATTTATTTTTTGAGGATTTAAATTATTAATATTAGCTCATAGCATAAAATAAATATTTAATTATAACTATATTTTTATCCACGAAAAATTCTTTTGTCAAATCATAAAAAATCGAACTTTTGCACTTCATGTTTGTCGTAGCTTTAGTAAATGACTTTTGTCAGTCACTTTTCAGTTTTCTCGATCTCTTTCTCTTGTTATGATTAAATATTTTCGTAATTATATTTTCTAATAATATTTTAAAATCTATATTAATATTTATATCTAAGTAAATTATTGATCAAACAGTAAAATTAATAATCAATGGACCAATCTCACATAGAATACTCATCACATTTATATGTTAAATGCTGATTTGAATAAAGGGCAAAGCAAGCTACTTCCTCTTCCTTTAATTTTTTCTTTACTTTTTTCGTTTACATCATAATTGTTCACTTAAAATTTAGCATGATTATACAATTTCTTTTGGGCTAAAAAATGTTCAATTATATAAAACTAGATGAGTGGTGCCCGTGCTGTGCCCGGGCATATGCCCGATATTGTTAAGTTATTTGTCCAGCTTAAAGATTACCAAGAAAATTTAATGCTGAGACGTTTAGCAAGGTTGCTGACAAAGGAAGCGTTGTTACTGCATACTTTTTTTTGGTGATAAGGGATTCAGATATTATCATAACAAAAAATTAATAGTCATTACAAAATATTCCTTATAACATTAAGGGTAGCTAAATTATCAAGTCTAACAAAAAAATTACCTCTTCTTAAACTGCTAAAACAACTGAACTAACAGATGGAGGAAACTGGATGACGAACAACGACATTAGGGTTGGTCTATTTGGATCCATCCTTGGACAAAAGATGTTCCACCATGTGTCCTTGCCTGAAGCTATGCCGCATTATCGGGCTCCCTAGGATTTACATTAACAATCTGCGGGCATCAACGATAGAGACATAAGTAGGTGTTGGATTTTCTAATAGTAATATTACCTCCGTTGATATCAATATAATTTCCAGCAGGGAAAAGTCAAATATGAATCACATAAAATTATAAAAAGAGTCCCAGATTAAGAAACATAAGCAAGATTCTACCCTTTTGGAGTGAAACAAACAAATAGAATGTTTTTTGAGAAAACAGTCAAACACAGGATCAAAAAGGAAAATATGGAAGACTACCTTGATAATTTGTGATTCTTTTTCTCGAAAAGGAAAATATGGAAGACTACCTTGATTATTTGTGATTCTTTTTCTCGAATAGCTTCTGATGTTTATCAATCAGCACTGAAGATGAGTAAAGCAGTGCAGACATGTACACGACAAGTGATTCTATATACGGTGGCAGGGACGCAAGTGAAATTATCCAAAAGGAAGCAGTTTTTTTCCGGGACCATGTCGCAGTGCCAGCAGCTCGTGAACAGTTGTTGCTTCATACTACAAACATCCATTGAGGAGCAAAATGTTTGTACAACATCAGTAAAAATCATGAAATATGTACTTGCAACATAGTAAACTTTTCCATACTCTATATCCTTCTTGAAAATTGATTATTCCACAAATCTTTGTTATTATAAATATTCTTTTGCAATAGTATTGAAAAAAAGGATTAGAACCTGCAGAGAGAGCTTAAGCAATACTAAAGCAGCAAACGCAGAATGTTTCTATTAGATAAACTATAATGTACAGCCCAAGTAATACACATAATTCTAATTCTTCAAAAAAATTAAACGAAAATAATATACATACTTGAGATATTATAAAATAACAATTTTAATGTGTAATTAATTCAATATTTCTGACTTTTGAGACAAAGGAACAGTGAACTATCAGAAGTTTTTCATCAGCTATAAAGATTGACAAAGAAAATGAATTACTTGGCAATGACTTCTCTACTCTAACTATGAAAATGATGTACTAAAAAACTACATTTATTGTTCACAGAGAGGAGGGATAAAATCTTGAAATAATTAAGAGGCTATATTGAATTTCAGAAACATTTGTAACTAACACATCTTTCCAATACAAACTGAAAAAGAGAAATCAAAGTTAGCTGCAAATTCTATTGCAAATAGGGGTGTTCAAGGTTCGGTTTGGATCGGTTATTTATCGGTTTTTTCTTAAATATAAGAAATACACTACCAAACGCACATTTCGGCGATCACATTTTCAACGCAACACTATCAAATCAATTGCCCTTTGAGAAATCTATTATTTACCAAGATATATTGATGATAATTGAATCAAATAGTGATGAATAATTTAAGGACTCAATTAAAAATATATTATTTTTAACATGAAATAGATTCTTACACTTAACAAAAGAAAACTACCAATTAAACTAGAATGTAAAGGTAAAGAACTGTACTAAAAGTACAAATGATTAATATTTACTATAAAAATTTTAAAACTTTGTATAAAAATATACATATATATAGGTGTAATAATAAATTTAAAATGGCTACTCCTATATTCGGTTTGGTTCGGTTTTTTTAATTAAAATCAAAACCAAACCAAATTTGATCGGTTTTAAATTTCAAAACCAAAACCAAACCAAACCAAAAAGTATCGGTTTTTTTGGTCGGTTTGGTTTGGTTTTCGGTTTGATTCGGGTTTTCGGATTTTTATGAACACCCCTAATTGCAAAGATTAACTTGAGGCACCAATGCAAGCCCAATGCTTCTAATGCAATACAATCAATGTTAAGCTTTAAAAATATCTCACTACTGATAAAATTCTTTTCAAAATGTATAGTTTTATGTGATATCAAGTAGTTATGTCCAACCTCTTCAGTATTTACCGTCTTAAAATCCTATTTCTAAGATAAGATTGCATATTTTACTATTCATAATCTTCCTAACAACAGGACGAAATAGTGATTGTGTACTAAACTTGAAAAAAGACACGAGCGGCTAACAAAAAGCCGAGGGTGAGCTGCAGTAGGGCTTGCTTTACCTGCAAATATTTTCACAAACAGGATATTAAATTAGATCACAGAATGTTGAAAGACGGAAAAGAAAGTGGTTTCATCTAACATAGAAGAACCTACATATTTATGTCAAGTTTTTCCCCTCAAGCATAACAAAGAAAGTGGTTTCCATAATACTAACAAAGTTTTTGAAAAAAAAAATTGAAATATATATTTACAGAAAGAATAACAAAGCGCAATTTGTTGTTGACCTTCATTTCATTCTCAATGGAGTTGTTTGCTCCAGTTTTTGTTTCATCTTTAACGATTTCAGTTGGTAACGCATATTTATTCTTTGGTGTATCAAAAGAGTCTTTCTTTCTTGCTGCCTTCACAAATGTCAGTAAACGTCTATGCTAGGAGAGAATGAAGAATGTTTTCTTTTTCAACACATGATAAAATATTCAATTCTCCAGACATTGTGGAAGAAATGCATGCTAATAATTTTTTAGCTTGGATTACGAACAGTTTGAGTAAGCAACTTTTTGGCAAAGACTCTTCTTGGAAAAAAATACTAAGCTTTTTGTAAGATCAATCATGTAATAGACATGTATAAATTGTTTAGTTCAAATAATCGCAGAATATTTTTACAGATTGAATTTGTATTTTGATTGAGGTTACCTTGTAAATTTCCTCTACAGTATGGGATAGAGTAGTATTTTTCTCCTTATTCTCTCACAATTATCTCAATTATTGAGCCGGAGGCATCTTGAAAATCAAGATCAAACCTGTAACAGTGTATGACTAAAACACTATGTTGATAAGAACAGAAGATTCTGGTAAAAATTTAGTATTATGTCTTCATCCACGGGAACAAGGATGAGAGATTCGAATTTTGATGCACTACTCATGGTGAAAGAGACAAGCATTTCTCCGTCTTCCATGATCTTGTCCATGGTAGAAAACACTAAACTTTTGAAGATTAATAATAAGAAAGAAACAAACACAATATATGTAGGAGCAGGGAGTAGTGTTATACCTTACATGTAGTTGCTACATTGTGGATAAGGTGGGTCAATCTGTATTGACGTTTTGAACCTTGTAGTCAATGATGTATCTACATTAATTAAGTACAAGAGATTACAAAATTACACTGTAACTTTGTATAAGATGGATTATTGTTTATTTTAGCTTACCATTATAGTTGAACCCCCAATATTTCTTGCAAGAATGACAGGATATTCTTTGAATTATTTCATGAGTTACTTCGTTGAACTTTAATAAATGCTTTTCTGGTATCTCGGTAAATAAAATATAAATATATTAAATCCAAAACTTACTCAATAAGTATCTTACTTTCTTTCAGATGCTTCTTCACTTGTCAACTTTAATTAGGATCAAGCTTATTCTACAACTAAAAAGACAATGAGTATACAAGCTGCACAAGAAGCAGGGTGGATAAATAGCTGCTATTGCACATTATAAATTATTTCTATTTCAAAAAGGTAAAAGAAAGGTACTTTATTTCCTTAAGCTAATTTTCAAATGTTAAGTTAATGCAACATCAATTTTCAACTAAGAAAAACATGCACATGTAAGAAGCCACTTACAAAGAAGACATTGAAATATACATTTGAAAGAGGGTATTTTATTAAAACTTTAGGAAGTTCTGCTATTTATATTATTGGTTTACGCTTATAGGATTAAGTTAATTTCTAAATGAAACTAACAAAACATAGTCACGAAACAACAAATGCATACAAAATGATCTCAGCTGATCTACGCTAACTCAAAAGATCCAAAAGAAAGAAAAATATTTTTAAACAAAAATTAGCATATAGTATTCCTCCAAATTAAATGAATAAAAAGTAACATAAACAAAAAAAATACGTAGTTGAAATAACATTAAACTTCATGACAAATCCAATTGAGAGCTAATCTGTGACAATCTAAAACATGCAAAATACAAAAACTTTTAAGGAGACAAATTAGCATTCATTCACCCAGAAACAACCAAAAACAAAAACCCGAATATTTTGATCGAAGCTGAAATAGAATAAAAAAATTTCAACCAACTGAGAGCTAATCTACTAATATCACATAAAATTAGCATTATTCCAAAATCGACCCCAAGAAAATAGAACAACAATAGGATTTTTTTATAGAATCCATAATGCTTGCAAGAGTCATGGAAGCAGAAGGCAAAAGAAAGATTTTTGGCTGCATTTGGTATCAATTTGATGGAGAATGATATGTGGATCTAGATTGAGAATGAAAAAAGAAAATAGTAAAATTAGAATGAGATAAGAATAGAAAAAGAATGAGCAAAGATGGCCGTACCAAGCTTCAATACATGAACGCCCACCGTTTGTTGCCGACGACGATAAAGACCCAAAGCTTCACTCAAATCTATTGCTTTTAGACTCTATCGTTACGATAGAGAGAAGTTGGAGGTGAAACGGACGCATGGAAGAAGAGGGTCTTGAGTTGAGACATGTAGAGTCGGTGATATGAAAGAGTGTGGAAGCCAGTTGTATCAGACAGTTAAATATTGAGACACGTGTCACCAAGAGAGAAAATAGAAGAGCTGCAACTTTGAAATGACAAAATGCCCCTAAGAAATGATGGTATTACTGAACTACCCTTCGTCGTCCATGGGCACCTTCACTTATTGTATAGTTATAAATTCATATATAAGGTAGAGCATATACATATTTGGTGTTATTTAATTATACTTTAACTTTAAATTCATATATGATAAAACTTTAATAATTTGAAAGTCCTAATAAGGACCTCTTATTTAATTCAATTAAGGAACGGTATAATAAGTAATAAATCTTATTTATTTCAAACTCCTAAATATTAGCTAGAAGAATAATCAAATGACTATTGTGTTTAGTATGAACTCTATTCTATAAGGGTAAAAGAAGGTGAACGACATTTCACTAAAGGCCTTCATGCTTTTAATATAGTATAGATGTCACGACCCAAATCGAACCGTCGTGGTGGTGCCTATCGCGGAATTGGGCAAGCCAACTACTCAACCATTTCAACATAATAAATGTTTTGAGAAATATGGAAGCAATTAATATTTAAGAAAAATCTTTTTAAAAGTAGAATAAAACTCGCAATTGAATACAAATCTCTCTCCAAAAATCGAGGTGTCACCGAGTACATGGGCATCTGTATGGGCTTATAGTCTACTACAATGTCTAAGGAATAAGAACTGAATTATAAGTAAAGATAATGAAGGAGGGTCAAGGCCTGCTAACTCCATATAGCTACCTCGATAGTCTGCCAAGATCCTGACTGCACACTCAGGAGTCGCCGTGGCCGGAAGCACCTAGATCTGCACACGAGGTGTAGGGTCTAGCGTGAGTACAACCAACTCAATAAGTAACAAATCCAACCTTTGTACTAAAAGTAGTGACGAACTCTACCGACACGGTTTAATATAGAAATTAACAGTGCAGAAACATAGGCATGCTTTCAAGTTCAACAGTTAAACTCAATACAGTAAGATATATCAAATTTGAATGATATGAAGAATATAACTCCTCTGCCTCTATATGCCAATGTACATGATGTATGTGATGTACCATGTTGGCAGCCTCATGTGCTCACACTCTCAAATGCTTATTCGCTTAGTATTGTATATAGCCAATCCGGCCCAGAGAAAATCCATCCCGGAATATATATTTCAACTGATTATCAGTCATTTAGTACTGAGTAGGGACAATCCAGCCCGTGGGGAAGATCCATCCCCAGGTGTATAAATGTTTCGGACAAGATCCATGTCCAGGGAAGATCCATCCCTCAATATAATCAACCGCGCTCACTGGGTGTGTGTGCAGACTCCGGAGGGGCTCCTTCAGCCCAAACGCTATCATAAATCAGTATAACCGCTGCGGCGTGCAGCCTGGTCCCATAAATGTCACTCATAATCAGGCCCTCGGCCTCACTCAGTCATTAATCTCTCAAGTCACTCTCACGGGCTCACAATGTCATAGAACTAGCCCGAACATAATGATATGATGTATCAATAAATAACAACAGAGATAGGGATATGATATGAAATGCGTGAATATGACTGAGTACTAAATATTAATGAAATCAGTAAATCAATAGCAAGAAATGACCACTATGGGTCCTAACAGTACCAACATATAGCCTAAAGATGCTCTCTAGCATGATTGACAGCTCAATTACTTTATCACATAATGAAAATCGAATATCAACAAGATGGAACCACTATGCAGTGCCATGAAATTGACTAGGTCACAATTCTCATGGTGCACACCCGCACGCCCGTCACTTGGCATGTGAGTCACCTCAACACTAATCACATAACACATGATTCGAGGTTTCGAACCCTAAGAGCCAAGTTTAGCAGTGTTACTTACCTTAATCCGAGCAAAACTCTACTCCAACACACCTTTGCCTTGGAAATCGACCTCCAAACAGCCCCAATCTAGCCACAAACAGTACAATATAATCAATATGGGCTAAAAGAATCAATTCTACAAGAAATTACGAAGTAATAATTCAAAAATCCGAAATCGACTCCAAGACGACCCCTGGGCCCACGTCTTGAAATCCGACAAAAGTTAAAGCACATTCAACCACGAGTCTAACCATACAAAATTTATCAAACTCCGACACCAATCACCACCCAAATCCCCAATTCAAACTCTCCAAATACGTAGCCTCAAACCCCCAAATTTCACATCAAAACCATACAATCTAGGTGAGAAAACAATGGGGAAAGAAAATTATTGAATAAAAACGGGCACAAGGAACTTACCTCAAGAATCCCCTCGAAAATCCTCTCAAAAATCTCCAAAGCCTGATATCAAAATGTTAAAATGAAGCCAAAATCACGAACCCTTGCATTTATATGTTCTGCCCAGTCAAACTGCATATGTGGTCCAAAATTCGCTTCTGCGGTCCCACTTTTGCGATGAAATCTCCGCATCTGTAGATGTCACTTAACTCCCCAGCTATCACACCTACGCACAAATGTCCGCTTCTGTGGAGACGCTTCTGTGGAAGTGCTTCTGCGCCTACTCGTCCGCTCCTACTGAAAATCCCTAGCCCCTCAACTCTTTCACTCTCTGCCTCTGCGACCCTTACATCACATCTACGCAATCATAGGTGCAAGAATCCCATCACACCTGCGACCTCTGCTGACATCCTTCTTGATCTCTTCTGCGGTCCTCTTCTCGCATCAGCGAGCTCGCAGCTGCGGTGCCCACTTCGCAGGTGCGATTACATTAGTAGTTGCAAATCTTTAGCAATTCTTCAACTTCAAAACTTGATCCGTTAACCACCTGAAACTCACCCGAGCCACCCAGTACCTCAACCAAACATACCATTAAGTCCCAAAACATCATACAAACTTAGTCGAATCCTCAAATCACCTCAAACAGCATCAAAAAACATGAATCGCACATAGATTCTAGCCTAATGAACTTTGAAATTCTAATTTCTACAAATGATGCCAAAACCTATTAAATCACGTCCGATAGACCCCAAATATTACACCCAAGTCACAAATGATACCATGGACCTACTCCAATTTCCGTAATTAGAATCCGACCCCGATATCAAAAAGTCCACTCCCGATCAAACTTTACAAAAATCCAAATTTCGCCATTTCAAACCTAATTCAACTACGGACCTCCAAATCACAATCCAAACATGTTTCTAAGTCCAAAATCACCCAATGGAGCTAATAGAACAATCAAAACTAAAATCAGGGGTCGTTTACACATAAGTCAATATCCGGTCAACTATTTCAACTTAAGCTTTCCATTATGAGACTAAGTATCTCAATTCACTGTGAAATCTCTCCGGACCCAAACTGACTAACCCTGTAAGTCATATAACAGCTATAAAGCACAAAAAGAACAGTAGATGGGGAGCGGGGCTACAACTATCGAAATGACCGATCTGGTCGTTACATCATCCCCCTCTTAAACAAACGTTCGTCCTTGAACAGGTCTAGAAACATACCTGGAGTCTCAAATAGGTGTGGATATCTTCTCTCCATCTCCCGCTCGGTCTCCCAAGTAGCCTCCTCAACGGGCTGACCTCTCTACTGCACCTTCACTAAAGCTATATCCTTTGACCTCAATTTTCGAACCTGCTGATCTAAAATGGCCATCGGCTTTACATCATAAGTCATATCACCATCCAACTGCACTATATTAAATCCAAAACATGAGACGGATCGCCGACATACTTCCGGAGCATAGAAACATGAAATACTAGATGCACACTCGACAAGCTAGGTGGCAAGGTAAGCTTGCAAGCTACCTCCTCAATCCTCTGAAGTACCTCAAACGACCCAATGAACCGAGGGCTCAACTTTCCGAACCTCATAACACCCTATATGGGTGAAACCTTCAGCAGAACCTGTTGATACCCAATTTTTTCCTCATATATTTTAAATATGAATATATATTTTTAAATAGTCCACATGTATTTACAAACATGCACAAATATTTCTATAATATTTTTACAATTTTTAAGACTTTATATCAATTTATTTCTATATTTTTTAATATACAAATATCCAATAGTTATCCCTCATATCATTTTTATGATGATTTAACCGTCTAAATTTATCATTTATGCCCATATAGTGCTTAAATATTTTAATTACATTTGCATTTTAAGGCTAAAATTGTACATTTTGCAATAATAGCCCATATAAATGCATAATTATATTATCTATATAGAAAATAACTTTTTACATTTTCATAATGTTAAACAATTATTTTTAAATTATTTTCATATATAAGTGGCATTTTATCATGTGTTAATTATTTTTATAAATTATTTTATTAGTTTAATTGTGTATTAGCCCCTTTTTAATTAATTTTTCGGACCTAGCCCACTATCCATTACCTCCAGCCCAATAACCTAACCCAATTACCCTTACCTAATTAGCTACCCGACCCAGAACCCCTTTAATCGTGACCTTGATCTCTAAGATCAACGGTCCATATCCATTTCCCTTATTTTAATTAACCAAACTCCTAACCCTAACCCTCATTCACCCCAAACCCGCCGTCCTTGAACTCTCTCAACCTCTTCTCTTCTCTCTGTCAAACCCTAAATGTTGTCACCCAAATCCCCTCCAAATCCCCTTTGATTCCAACCAGATATGGAATCATCTGGTGATTACTTACCTTATCCAGCCCCTTTTCTCTACTGGTTAACCAATTCTGGTATTACATAATCACTTGCCTAACATGGCAAGTGGATCTCTCTTGTTTTGAATCAAATCTGGTTCAAACCTTTACTTCTTTCCATCGATGTTTATTCTTTGTCTCTTTATGGTACAAATCTCTGAGATTCTTTTGATTTTGTGTTTACCCTTAAAATTAGGGTTCAAATATTTTAAGACTTGTTTAACTTTTTGGTCTATTTTATTAAAATCTCACCGCATGTCTATTTTCTTTGCTAAAAGTCTTATCTAATCTATTTTCCCTAAAAACTAGGGCTC